TTAAAGGAACATCTGTTAGCAGCCTCACTGATCAGCCAGAAACAGATGGTAAAAAGGCCTCTAAATTTCATTTTGAAAAAATTAAGTTTGAATTTCCTGATATGCACATAGAAAAGTAGTGTGTGTCTTGTGACTTTAAAAATCAGAAGCCATCCAAAATGAGTATTGGAAAAACTCTAATGATTTTCAAAATCACCATGGGATTCATGCTTTTTGAACAAGCAATTCTGAAACAACACTTTTGCTTTTAATGTATAAACCCTAACATACTTTCTTTCTACATAAGGGGTATTTCAGAAAGTACAAATAAGAAACTGATAGAGACAGTTCAGTACCTCTAAAATCAATGGAGTGATGCAAATACTAAACATAGAACTGGAGGAAAGAGTCAGTTGTCATTACTTTCAAATGTTTCCAATGCAATCTACCACAGAGGAATATGTATTTAAAAGAAAACTGTGGTATACTTTCATCAATTAGTTCACTAACATTAACTATGATCCAAATAGCATTTTGGGCTAGGGACAGACATTCAAAAAGACTGAGCCTGAATTGAATCAATTTTTGCAAGTTAGTCTCACCTGCCTAGTCTAAATCAGTTTATAATTGCACAGACATCCCCTCTGGACTGAAAAAATGCAGGCACATGCCTGCAGTGGCTCATGCTAGAAGCTGGGGGGCACTAGAGCAGTCTTCCCCTTCCTTTCCCTTCCCTTCTCTTCCACAGTGCTAAGCTGAGGTGGGGTGTGGCCAGGCCCTAGCAGGATACTCTGATTAGGGAGGGGTTCTCCCCCTCCCTCCCCCCAGCTGGTCAGCAAGGGAGCCAGCAGGGATTTACACAGTGTATATCATCCCCATCAGCACAACAAAAGGATCTCTCATTTGTTCAATCTTTCTTAAACAATTTTTTCCAAGGAAGGAACAAAGGGACATTACCAGCTACTTGCTGATTAGCTCCAAAGAATCCGAAGCCATTGTCCTTTGTCCCGTCTCCCAAAGTACAGACATAGCCAGCATGTGGTATGCTAGCTAATGCTGAGAGGTGTCTGTGTAAGGCAGAGGAAAGGGGAGAATCCCTGCTTGAGCAGGGAGAGGGTTGGCAGGAGGAAGCCAGGTAGATGCCCTGTACCTACAGTCTCTGCTGGAGATGTAGCCAAGGAGCAGAGGGGAAGGGCCAGACCTGCTGGGCTGGAGCAGAGAGGAGAGCCTTGCCCAGCAAAGCATCTGGGATTCTGGGGGACTCTGGTTTAACTTAAACCAGCAATGGATCTAGGACAGACATTGCATGAACTGGTTTGAGCCAAATCAGTTAAGTCTGATACTACATTCAGCCAAGTTTATTTCAAACTGGTTTCAGCCATTTTCAAACCAGTTTATGTGCACTGAACATCAGTTCTGTTACAGGTTTAAACCAGTTTCTGATCACTTAAACTGGTTTATGTTTAATGTCTGTCCCTAGCCTTACTGTGTAAGTAGTCCTAAGGAAGTTGTGCTATGGTTCGTCCCAGAAAGACATAATTGGGACTCTTCCCATGATTGAAATTATACCTGCACTTCATACTTTGTTGGATCTGGGCCTTATAGCATGTTTGATTTGTATTGTACATAAGATTGGCTGTTCTTTTATCTTTATATCTAGGTATATTATAGCATTTAGTGTAGCTGGGACTACTGGTGACAGTCAAGTGATCTTCATGTTACCTTTACAACTTCAGAGTTGTAGGGCTGCTAGCAACCAAAGCCACATCAGTATATCTTCCTCAAACAATATGCCCTCCTCTTCTGTTAGCAAATTGCTTTATTCTGTGTGCAAAGCCCCATGGACCAGAGCCATTCATCAAGAGAGAGATTAATTTCCTGCAGTGCCCCAAATCTGGTGCCCCTGTTCTTTTTAAACAGGTGTTTATACACGTGCTCCAGGATTGGGGGGGAGTTGTGGGGGGAGGGAGGAGGTGCTTTAATTAGAGCAGCTCCAAGAGTTTCATAGTTTCTAGGGTCGGAAGAGACCTGAGCAGATCATTTAGTCCGACCCCCTGCCATGGCAGGAAGAGCACTGGGGTCAAATGACCCCAATAAGGTGGTCATCCAACCTCCTCTTAAAAACCCCCAGGGTGGGAGCCTGCACCACCTCACATGGAAGCTGGTTCCAGACCCTAGCCGCCCTGA